TCTGAATAATATCAATTTCTGAGTGTGGTGTGTATATGAGGGAGAGAGAATGTTTTTTGTAAATGAGATAGGGAATTATTTATAAATGGATAGTTAATTTTGCAAACATCACATTCACTTATTTTTTGTCATGTAAATAGGCAGATGTTGCTATCGGTACACATGTAATGATATATGCACACATATATTGGGAGGGGCAGAACTCTGCAGAAGAAACTGGGCATGCACTGGGTTCTGGGTGTTTGTGGTTTGTTGTTTTTTTCTATCTAAATTTAGGTACCGGTAAATATAATCATTGTCTTGTGGTATATCATTATCTAAACTTTTTTCTCTTTTGGTAAATATGGTATATCATTATCTTGGGATTTAACTATAAAATAAAATACATAAATTATCTCAGTGATTCAAAATTTCAAATGTTTTGATCTAGGTTCTCTTTTAAATCTCTTTGTTATTCCACCTTATTTTCTGTTTCAGTGCTTTAAAATTGAAATGAATGAACTGAGCAACAATTTACATTCATTCAGATTTGGAATATTTCTGCAGCAACTCAACTGGCACCAAATATATTAAATTTTTAAAATAATCATTAGCACTCTGCTATGTTCTAGAAACATACCATATTTATTTCATCCATATTTCTTTATTAAAATATAACTTTTTAGTTATTTTTTATTCTTACATTTCTTAGTCATAGAGTAGTTTGAATTCTAACTTTTTTCTTTCTTTTGTAAATAAGGACTTTCTGATTCTGATGAAAATTGCAGGAGATTTATGGAGAGATGTATGCCTGAAGCTTTTAAAAAGGTAAGTGTAAAAATAAAAATCAAATTTGAATTGCTATAGCTGAAATTGGAGATAGTCAAAACTGAATTGCTTTCATTCTGGTAATAGTGTTGGATGAAAAAACACACGTCTTTTCTAGTTTGAGGATTTATTTAAGATTTTGTTTTCACTTAACCTGCTATTAATAAAAATAATCTTTTTTAAGATCAGAAAGATGCAATTTAAATGTCAAAGGTAGTAAAATCACTTTCGAATTCTTTTCTAGTAGTACCTTCAGTTGCTGACAGTTACATGAAAATAGCCTAGTTGCTCTATTTATTACTAGACAGCGCATGGCCTTTTAGGTCATTGTTTTAGATATATTTCCTTATCTAAGCAGAGAAACAAAACGTGATTGACCATGGGTGGACAAAAATCAGGAATGGGAACTGCTTCTGTCAGCTTCCCCATAGAATTTCCTTGTGGGGAATTAACAGTGACATTGGAAATCTTCCTCTCTCCCTTCTCCCTTTGCTCCTTGTCCCTGCCACCTTGTCTTTTTTATTTAATTTATTAAATTTGTTTGCTGTTTGCCCCTCTCCCTGTCTCCCTTCCTGCATGTCCTTCTCTCCCTTCCTTCCCTTCCCAGCAGGCTGCTGGTAGGTGGGAGAAGAAGAGGGGGATTGCACAAATGGCTGGGAAGTATCAGGGAACATTGCAAATGATCACATGAGCACGGCAGTAGTACTGAAGCAGCTACATCTTCCCAAATTTCATTTCCTCTGAATTCATGGATGATGGCTTTTGGACATATCCTGTAATTTAGCCCATTTGAGAGACCTTGGTTGAAAACCTGTTGAACTACGATGCATGATTTCACACAGTTAAAGGTCACGGCAGTGAGGATTTTGATAATATACAGAAAGATTTTGTGTTAATATAGACTCTGCTTCTTTACAGCTGCTGACATCAAGTGCAGTTCATAAATGGGGTACCGAAATCCATGAGGGAATCTACAATATGTTGATGTTATTAGTAGATCTGGCTGCAGAGAGAGTGAAACAAGATCCTATTCCTGTTGGACTTCTATCTGTACTTACAATGGTATTGTAACTACTACATCTCTCTGAGGCTGCTCAGCCTGCAAATGTTAGTGCTTTACATTAAGGGGCCAAGTGAGACATCGTATGAAATTGTGTAAAGTAAACTTTTAACTGTGGTTTAATGTGATTTCTAAATTAACAGATTTGATCTACCCAAATGATATAATCAGAAATAATGGCTTCAAGTGGCTAAACCTGTTACTTTGACTTATAGTAACTGATATGCCATGTTCTTTAAATTGACACCCCCTGATTCTATCCTTAATGTCTTCCAAGACTGCACATTTGCAATTGTGATTTGCTTTCTAAACAGTAGTCAGGATAATTGATTGCTCAGCAAGATGTCCAGATCAATGCACTGACATTTCTCCTGCATATTAGATTATTTATTTGTTTTGTTTGCAGTCCAAAATGAAGACACAGAATTAAAAAATACAGCATAGTATGCTGAAGATTAGATTTTTAAAATTGGTATTCAAATATGTATGACTGCTTCCAAGTTGCAGTGGACAGATTCACAGATATAGAATATTTTGATAGTATACATTAATAGATATTTGTTGCTTCCAAGCCTTCTTTGCAGATATACTATGATGGTGATTATTAGTGTTTTGAAAAAAGACAAATTTATGCTATTGCGCTATTTTTAGATAGCTTTTCAAAAATAATTATAGTTACCTATTCTGCAATGCTACTGTAAGATATACTTAGATAAAGAACTTTGATTTTTAAAGGGAAGTCTTGCATAAAAGTTTAATAATACTCAGATTTCTATGCATAGCATTTTAACATTTGAGATGAACATGATATAATGTACATAGTTACATACACAAAAGTAAACAACCCATAGCCACATAGTCTTTAGCTTTTTGGTCCCAGAGCACTTCTCCCATGCTACAAGAAGCTGTACAAATTTGGTGTCAGAAAGGGTTATTTTTAAGTTATCTGCTACTTTGCTATTTTGATTTTAAAAAACCCTGCAATGTAAGATCATCATTTTCATCTTGAACTATCTCCACTTCCCCCCAAAGGCTAACATTTTACATCATTGTTTTCCTGATTATATCACTATGTCCCAACCCCCAGTGTGCACATTTCCCTTTACATTAAAAACACGAAAAGATTCATTTTATTTCACAATACTATTTGCTAATAAAATTTAAGCTTGATTAACAGAGCAATATCAGTATATAGATTTTTCAGTCCTTGCCAAATTCTTGTTTTTTTAAAAAAATGAGTGGTTAACGGATCCATTTGTCCTGTCAACAAAATGGAGGCAAATGTTTTATTGAGAAACACAGAGAGAAAGAGAGAGACAGAGAGATAGACAGACAGAGAAAGAGAGAGAAATAAGTTTCTTATTGGAATGATGTTCTGTTTCTACTAGACTACTAAAACAGTTTAATAGTTTAGTTTTAGATTATCCAGCCCTACATTTACCTCTCTTGAGTAACAGATACAGAAGTCTTTCCTTCTAATGTATCTTTCTTATAGAAAGACATAGGGATGTGTCCAATTCCATTTCCTTCTTTCCTTCCTTCTACCTATCTACCTACCTACCTATCGGATAATTTTGATTCACCCCAGGCTTCAAAGTTTGGTAGATGTGTAGTTTTCTTACTCATGTTCACTGAGGCAGTCTTTGTTCACTATGCTGTTTATATATCTCAGAGTACAGATATATAGCTGAATATAAATGTTCAGTTTGTTATTTAACTAAATTAGCATAGTTATTTGCCAACAGTATTGCAGCTCATGCTTAGTGCCATACAGCCCCGTGTTTAGTCTAAACTCTCCAATTTTTTTTTAAAGCTAGCAAATGAAAAAAAATGTGTAGAATTGCTGTCTAACAGTACTTATATTGATAAATAATGTATGCTGGTATAAAATATTTTCCTATATGCTTTTCTATGTTCAATATATTCAAGATTTTACTATTAAAAAGTTAAACATAAAAATAATACAAATAGAGTATGATAAAATGATCTTAACAAATTGTTGTAAAATGCATTAAAACTTTGAGATCTTAAAACACATATTCTGTTAATTGACTTTAATATTAGTTCACTATGTTGACTGGGATTTTGTTTTTCATATTCTTTTATTTTGTTAAGGCTTTTAATCCTGACAATGAGTATCATTTCAAAAACCGAATGAAAATGTGCCAAAGGAACTGGACAGAGATATTTGGGGAAGGGAATCTATATGCTGTTTCTCCTATTACTGCTTTCCAAAAGGTAAATATAAAATATATGGTTATTTAACAGGCAGCGTTATATGCATATTGTTTGAGATATGTATTGCAACATTTTTTAATATATTTTAACAATGCAGCAGATTTTTGTAGTCTTTTCTAGGTTACATTTGTATAGTATTTTTCAACAAAATAAACCATATTCATGAGGTATCAAGTTATATTTAATAACTTGAAACAATTTATTTAGTGACCATTCAGAGTTACAGTGGTCTGAAAAAAGTGACATGGTCATTTTTCACATGACCTTTGCAGCATCCCCATGGTCACATGATCAAAATCCAGGCATTTGGCAACTTCTATTTATGACAGGTTGCAATGTCCTTGAATCATGTGATTACTTTTTGTGACCTTCTGACAAGCAAAGTCAACAGAGAAGCCACATTACAACCATGTCACTAACTTAACAACTGCAGTGATTCACTTAACAATTGTGACAGGAAAGATCATAAAATGGGAGAAAATTCACTTAACAAATGTCTCATTTAGCAACAGAAATTGTGATCATATATTGAGGAGTACCTGTAATGACAATACTGTACCAATGCAATCCATTATCATATATTTTTTTAATATGGGATGAAAAAACAATACAGTTTTATTTTTAATATTATTAAATCATGCTTCCAGAATGGAACTTTTTGATATAATTATAGCTTTGGATTTGTTTATATCAACTAGTGTTTCCAGATTTAAAAGTAATAGTTTTTAACATGGTGCTTCATGCTGAATTATTGTTATTTTTGAGATGGCAAATCTATTATCGAATGTTGCCCTCGACCAATGATTTATTTTGAGAAAAATGAATAGTTCTAATGACAACATTTAGCTCTTTAGGTACCTTTTTCAGATGATTCTTGCTAAGAATCATTTTTTGCATTTGCAGTGATTGCTAATATAAGAAGTAATTTAGATGCAGAAAACAAAAACAAAATTCCATTTAAAATGTATTCTCAATTATACAGGAACCACACGGATGGCTGGTAGACTTAGTGAATAGGGTAAGTAAATAGAAATACTGTTCACTCTGTATCATGTGTAGTTATATAGAACTTTAATATTTTTTAAAAAAAAATAACAAATCCTCACTCTAGAGGGCATATAGATCAAAGTAGAAAAAAGTTGTAACTTTTATCCAGAATAAATGGAAAGAAATGTGTAGTTATGTGCCAAAAATAATCTTATATGATGAATTTATTATCTGAGATACTTTAATGTGATATTTAAGTGAGATAATATAATTTTTAGGAAGAAAGACATTTACTGAAGCACGCTAATATTGATTTTCATTACTTATAAAATGTCAGTATGAGTTATCGTAGTTTTGTGCTCTCTTGTTGAACTGATCCAGGAAGCCCTACTGTTTCCCTTCCAGGGAACAATAGCATGAAATAAGTATGACAGTATTCTACCTTTTTGAGATATTTCAGACTGGGGTTTATTTGTACTTATTTCATGATTATTTATTTGGTGATTGAAAGTTTATTTAAATTAGTATATATATATTTGAGCATATTGATGTACTTCATGTTTTTTTTTCTACTTTCTGCCAATTTTGATTTTGCTTAGTTTGCAGAATTAGGAGGATTTTCTGCAATTCAGTCTAAACTTCATTCAGAAGACATTGAACTTGGGGTAAGTTAAATGTTATTTGGCTATGCTAATTGTAGTTTATTATAGCTAATGTCTCTGAGCTGTCAGATATTATAGAAATAAAGGAATATCAATGTTGGATAAGGCATATATAATTTATGTGGTATTTTTACTATATGTTCAACCTCTGTTGCCGGTGTAAAACTATGGTTGCATTACGAGTGTATTGTATTGGTCCTGGTTATTCATTAGTTCATTTTAGATGTGTTTAGATGTGTTTATCTCGTGCCTGTTTATGAAGCATTTATGTAGGGAGTATTCTCTGTTTGTTTTTAAATATTTCTTCTTCTAGGCAGTCTCTTCATTGGTTCAGCCTTTGGGAGTTTGTGCCGAGTATCTAAATTCTTCAGTGGTACAGGTAATTAATTTTTAATAATGATGTAGCAAATAGAGTTTCGATTTTCTTCTTAATAACAATAGGATTATTAAATTGTGCAGGGATAAATTCAGATCTGCATAGAGATGATTTCAGGTACTTTGTCCAATATTGACATAGATATGTTTATAATGAGTGATAGCCAAAATGAGCATAAGAGGAATGGGCTGTCTCTTATATGAATAGGAAGCACAGATTAGGATTATAATTTACTGACTTGCTGCAGTTTGCACTATGCTGACTCCCAGCCAATTTTCCCATCTAAAAGGATGGAAATATTGTAGTATGAAGACTTACAGGTATATTTTTCTTTCTAAGATGCTAAATTAGTATTTCTTCATTTTACAGCCCATGTTGGATCCAGTCATTCATAATATGATTAAATACGTTCAAAACATTGAAGAGAAAGACCTGAAAGACAAGGTAACCCTGGATTTCCTAAGTATAATCCAAAATTGTCATTGTAATGTTAACTGAATAACTGTTGTTGCCTAGGTTATTCAAGCTTATCCTGAAACTTCTCAGATTATTGTTGCCTTAATGATGTCAGTTGCACTGTATCTGTTATATTATTATAGCTTAGTTGCATTTTTTAATTAATGTTTCCTGGTGTTCAAATTTCCACTTTTCACCAAATTAAATGATATAATCTTTGTTGACAAAATGTGTTCTTGTGAAATGTATAGACTGCTTATAACTTTTCTCTTTCACAGAAGCTAGTCAGTATTCCTGAACTCTTGTCTGCCATCAAGCTCCTCTGTATGCGATTTCAGCCTGATTTAGTAACAGTAGTAGATGATCTGCGGCTAGATATCCTATTGCGTATGTTAAAATCACCTCATTTCAGTGCAAAAATGAACTCTCTAAAAGAAGTAAGTTTATTAGGCTAAAATCTTAAAATTGACCATAACTGGGTTACTATAAAGTACTCTAGTACTGGAGAACTAAAGATTTTTAGTTCATTCAATATTTAAAGAAAAGCAACAGCAGTTGGTAGCAGCTAACTAAATTTGACTGATCTTCAAAGAAAAAAGACAAGATGAATTAGATTTAGTTAGTATTTCAGTGGGGGATTACCAGGACTGGGAAGATGAAACAATAAAATAATGGAAAATAGCCTCCATAATTATTGGCAAAAGCAAATAACATTAACATCTCAAGTCGTAGAAAGTAGAGTTCAACTCAAGGGACCCACTATGTTTTTGTAGGTCATAAAGGCGTGATTTGGGTTATTGGTTTTAGTTACAGAATTTCCAGGTAGTAAATTGATTCCTAGGTTGGGAAGAAATTAAATCTGCTTTCTAACCCTCTGTATTACTCTGTTTGAAGCACAGTGATAGAACAAGTGGCAGTTAAATATTATAAAAAGTACATTCATGTATTCCTGATGATCCTCTGTACATGTCTGTGTAGTTTTATTATTGACTGTATGACAGTGGTTTGTCCCTTTTTCTGGAATGTTTTTCAACTTCCCAATATGTCTACAGCTCTGGTATTCTCTGATAGTATTCAATCCAAATACTGTATTAACCAGTATTATTTTTTAAAAAAACCCTTCAAGTACATACCTCTTTTTACTTAGTTTGTCTTTCTTAAAGCGGATCTACAAACATTTCATTACCCAGTGAATAACTGAATAAGAAATACGAGCAGCCACCATTTCTTGCCCTTTCACATTCTTCTGAATGTAAAAGAGAACTGCTTGTTCCTGAAGAAAGCTTTTCCTTGCAGATTGCAAAAAACATATCCAAAGTCCACTTCTGTTGAAACCTGAACCCCCAAGAACAAGTACTTTAGGTGGCTGTGACTTCATGGGCACTTTAAATCAAGTGGAGATTTTTTTTGCAGACAGCATAAGGTGCCGTCTGTCATCCTACCTGTTCCCCTGCCTATGGTTGTAGCCTTAAGCATCTTCCTTTTATAACATTGAAGGGCCAGTGGTCTTTTATACTTAGGGCACAAGAAGACTGTAATTTATGGAGTTGTTCTATCATTGTGCAATTTAGATACTCTGTTACTGTTCAAGATCTGCTGTTTTTAGGTAAATAAGTATTTGGAGTTTTAAGACTGGTGCGTTATCTGGGAATCAGCTTTTCAATTATTCCCCTACATATATTTATCTATTCTGTCTGCTGAAAAGGGTGATTTAGTTTAGAATCTGCCCTGTACATGATAGGATACCTGCAGTGAAAAAAGCAAAATCCATTTGGTAATCGTTATGATAGGGACTTAATTATAATGCCTTCATACAAATTTGTCATGTGATTACACTTTAAAGTCATGCATACATCTGGCTGTAAAAAAGGATAGGATGATCTGCAGAGAATCCAAAACAACAACAACAGGGCAATCATTAGCTCAAGAGGACAAAGCAATTCTTCCATTAAAAATGTTATGCTATTTAGAGATATTTAATTTAGGGGAGAAAGTGATAAAATAGAACAGAAAGTAGTTGAGACATAGTTGCATCTCATGCGGACTTTGCACTGATATCTGTTTGACTGCTATAATAATAATGCATCTAGTTAAGGCTTTTTAATCTTCAGACTCTTTTCTTTTTTCCATAGTAATAAACTGAAAAAAGGTTTAGTTAATTCTTCTAAAAGTTTCTCTCTGCTATGGGCAAGATAGTACTCACTGTTTTCAGGTTTTGTATATCTTTTATTGTTAGGGCAATTCTTAATTATTTTATAGCTTTTTCTGTCCTTATTTTTAGGTAACAAAACTTATTGAAGATAGCACTTTATCCAAATCGGTAAAAAATGCAATAGATACAGATCGTTTACTAAACTGGCTGGTAGAAAATTCTGTCCTGTCCATTGCATTAGAAGGTATGTATACAAATGTCTTCTGAACTTCACTGACATTCTGACTGCGTTCAGTTAAAAGGTTTAATCATGTTTGGAATTGAAAAATTACTTCTGAGAGCATACGGTTAAGGTACTTTTCATTTCTCCCTCTTTTTGTGTAATCATTCAAATAGTAGTCCCAAAGGTGCTTTTCCAAAAGGCAACTGGACTTTCTTGGTTTTTTTCCTTGAAAACATTTTGCTTCTCATCCAAGAAGCCTGGATGAAAAGAAGCGAACATGAGAACTTTAGAAGCTTCTTGGATGAAAGTAGCCAGAAGGGAATACTCTTTCTTTTCATTTGTTGCTGGGGGTGGTTTTTTTTTAATGCTTTTATATTCCAAGGACCTCAGGGCATATGACAGTCAAATATTGATGCCATCAGTGAGGGACAGAACTAAACGTTCTGTCCTTTTCTGTAAAAGAATTGATAAGAAATAGGTGATGCCAGACAGAGGCTTGTTTTCTATAGTGTATACTTTCAATGCATTCTATTAAAAATAAATAATCAGTCATGGGACAATTGAAGATGGTAGCTCTGTATCCTCAAATATGAGTTTAACAGAATTTGTGCAAAATGTTTATTTACTATGGTGCATTGAATAAGATAGGGAAAATGTTAGGAAGCTAATGGTCTCTTTTGTTGCACCTGTTGTCTAAATTGTGTATATTTCTGTGTCTAGGTAACATAGATCAAGCACAATATTGTGATCGTATCAAGGGAATTATTGAGCTATTGGGCAGCAAGCTGTCTCTAGATGAATTGACCAAAATTTGGCGAATACAGGTGAAGATTTTTAGCTGTTATTTTTAGCTGTTCTTGAAAAGCTTAGAAAGAATTTTCACATCTGTTTTTTTCAGAAATAATTGCGTATCAGGAAATGAGATTTGTTTTTAAAAATTTCTGTGAGAAAAATAATTTTTAAAAACCCAGCATTTTACAACACAAATCTAGAGTACATTAGGGAAACTACTATATTGCTTTTACCAATAAATACAGATTTCCCTTTATTTTTAGTACTCACATCTTTTTTGTTTAAAATAAAATTTGAAAGATTTGAATACTTGTCTTACAGAAACATACTCAATATGTGTCAGTGACAGTATCTAAAAACCTCAGAAATTCACTAAGCTGTCAGCTAGAAATAGTGATTCACTCAATTGTAATTATTCATGGAGTTTAAGGATTTTATTTCTGCAGATGATATAAACTGATATGGTGAGAGATGAGTACATAGACCTGGTATATGTTATGGAACGATGGTTGAGCAACATTAGAGATATAGCACCATGGAAATTGGCCTGTATATATTTCAGACCAGGCTGCAACAGTAGGTCAAGGAGTAAAGATGCAATACCTTCACAAAGATTGGAAACAGGAGGAAACTGATTGCAAATCCAATGCATAGAATTAGCAAAAAGACAATTTAGGACTGCTGGGAGTGTATCAAATGTCAAGCAGACATTAATGAACTCTTAGACACCATTTCATGGCTAATGTTGGAATTTCCAAGGGTTTTAGTCTGGATGGCTCCAATTTTCATACCTTGGGAGGAGACAGAAATTGTCTGATATAACTGAATCCGGAGACTACTTCTTTATCAGAGGTGGAGTGAACCCCTTTCTGTGGGCAAATGGATAACATATTCTATTTTAAAAAAATGTTATCTCCTTTGTGAATCCAGTACCTCATACTCTTCCTGGCCCCAAAGGAAACCTACAGTGGTTATAAAAAGTCTATACATCCTGTCCAATGAGAGGAGGAATGTCTTCTGATTTGCAGTAGCCAGGTCTCTTTAACTTGATATGTCCTTTTTCTCCCTTCTTCCCCTAATCCTAATTCCTTTGAAGTCAGGACAACCATCAACTGTGATAGAGAACATCCACACTATTATTGCAGCAGCTGCTGTGAAGTTCAGCTCAGATCAGCTAAGTCATCTTTTTATCCTTATTCAAAAGGTAAGGTTTGTTTTAGTTTAACTCTGTTTTTATAATTAAAAATAGGAAACCTCACAATCCTATACCATAAAACAGACCAGATGAGAGTTTTACTAGTTTTACTTTTAAACAATCATCATATGTTACCTGTATCCTTGACAAGTTTTTCTTAAATGGAATTTGTTAAAAGAAAACAGCATAATTAATTACTTAATTATAAATAGGCTTTTGAATACCATTTTCAAAGTAAATAAAAACCCTTCTAAATTTCCTATTCAAAGTAGGCTACTCCTTTTAGTAGCTCATATTATGCTCTTACTTAGGTCAGGTACATTTGGCTGTTAAGTGTGCTCAGTTACAGACCTTCTAAAAAAAATTATATGTTTTTAAAAACGAAATTTGTATGTGTGGAATTAAATTAAGCATACATTTCATTTCCAGTTTCTTTATATACTGTCAGATTTATATTCAGTTAAATTAAGTGTTGGAAAAAATGTGTTAGAATATGTTTTAGTTAGCTTTGTGTTTATCTATTTTCCCTCCTTTTTTTTAGAGTTGGGAGTGTGAGAGTGATAGAGTACGACAGAAACTCTTAAGCTTGATAGGACGTATTGGACGGGAAGCACGTGTAGAGGCAACCACTGGAAAGGCACGTGGAACAATTTTTTAAGAGAATGCACATGGCTTACATTGTTATAAGTCGCTTAAAGTCACCTCTAAACAAGATAAATTCTAAGCATATAAATTTAAGAAATATTTCTGCAACAGACGGTGATGTGTGTATTCTTCTAGGTTCTTGAAGTTCTCTGGGATTTGGCTCATCTTCCAACACTACCTAGCAGCTTGATTCAGCAGGCTTTGGAGGAGCATTTGACAATCCTTAGTGATGCATATGCAGTAAAGGAGGCAATCAAAAGAAGCTATATCATCAAATGTATAGAAGATATTAAGAAGGTTGGTTTGTCTTTAGAATTGGCTTCAAAAATCATAATTTTAAGATATATTGTCTTTATTACCACAAGTTCTAACATTTTTTAATTCAACGTGATACAAACTACAAGAATTAGTTAATACCTTTAACTAACTAGCTACTTAGTTAATAACCTTTTGAAGGCAGTAGAGAATAAAGACTGGGTGAAGTAAATCTCATGGTTTGGTTTCGAGTTTTTTGTTCTTTGTCAAAGGTTCAATTACTGGATTATAATAAAGAAACTTTCAGCTAAATCCAGGAATTAAGCAAATTTAAACTTTCTATATTTAAACAAGTTAGATTTTATAGTGAAAGATCAGGTTTAGACAATTTTGAAAAGTTGTACAGCCTGTTTATAAGTTCAATGAATGTTAGGGTTTTTTTTCCTGATATAAATTAATTTTAATTATTTTGAGTGCTATTCTGTATAAAAAAAGAAAGAAAATAGTGTTATACATTAAATATAAACTAATAAGCGATTGGAAGAGAAATATAAGTCTGGGTGAAATATGTTAGTCCAAAAGATCCCAATTTAATTCTTTATGTAATGTAATCTATCTGATGTCTGTTGTTGCTGTTGTTTTTAGTGGGAGTATAATTATGATTATTTTATACATTTATATCTCAACTTTCCCTTGGGAGCTCAAAGGGTGTCCCACAGAGGTTTTTCTTTATTCCATCCTCAATATTGCTCAACCTGAGTGAAAAGATAGTGGCTAGCTAACATTGACCTTGTCAGTTTCCATTAGGGTTAGGATTGGGATTTGATCTCAGGTCTCCCAGGTCATATTCCAGCATCTTTAGTTTCTTTGCCATTCTGGCTGATTTCTCCACTAATTCAGTAATGTTAATAATCACCATAAGGTTTAGTATAATCTAGAAATATTTCACTAAATAAAAAACATAGTTTGAATTTAGCCAATGCATAACCAGTTTTGAAACACCATCATAAAAGTATATCATCTGTACAGAAGCAATGCAAATTATTTCAGGTATAAGGCTGTGCAAGTACCAATTTGCTCTTTGTTGCTGTTACTCTTTGTTTGTTTCAACTCAGTCTCAGAAAAAAATGATTTCTTTTCTCAGTGTCAGTGTCTTCCTATAATTTATTTTAATCTTTAAGGATATGTCATAATATTCTCTTTTAAACTGCGTTCCTTTCTGATGACTGTAACCTTGATTTTTTTCAAGCCAGGGATTGCAACCCTTTGTCTTAATATGATATAAATTCTGATTGGCACCTCATACTTTTTTTTTAAATCTCCTCTGCTTGCTGTTCTCCATCATTCCAAATTCCCAATGAAATTTAGCATTTGCAGTTATGACCATGAGCTTTTCCATTATTCTTGCATAGTCCGATCAGTGCACAAAAGGCCCTTTTCCCATGGGTTTTGCTGGGCACACAAGAAAAAGTGATTGGGATAATGAATTCATTTATTTGCAAACTGTAATTGAGTCATACAGATTAAAGTCATGCCTGTCATTAAGTGGATCATCATGCGACTGACCTCATTTTAAACTTTTGTAGTATTCATTAAGTGAACACCATGGCCATTAAACTAGTTATTGCCTGTAATGGGTGCTTTTTCTCAGAAACCAAAAATAAATATTGGATTCTGTCAAAAAAAACAACTTCATAAATTGTCACATGACTGTGAGGCACTGCAAATGGCTATAAAGGCAGGCCAGTTGCTGAGCACCCAAAATATGGGAGGAGGGGGCCATTTGACTTTGAATCAGAGTCACAAGTTCCTTTTGGAAGGTCCATTGTAACTTTGAATGATCACTAAATGACTTACTATAATTTAAGTACTATTTATAATCTGATTATAAAAATCATTTGGATAGCCTCTATTGATCCCTGAATCCCATGCTCCTCTTCTGTCATCCTACAACAATGTGCAAACTTTTTATTTTTGGTACAATAACTGAATTGCTATTTATAGTATACTAGAACAGCAGCATAGGATCAGAACTTTGCAGAGTTTTAAATTGGGGCAGAGTATGGTAAAGGCATCCACATGGGTGCATCTATTTTGAATACACTTCAGATTCATCCAGACCCACAACTCATTTTCAGTATCTATGGCTATTTCATCAGTGTCATATACAGATTTCTAAAAGATAAGTTTGAAAAAAAAATCTTTTAAATCTAGGAAAAGTAACTATAAATTGTAAAAGTAATCTAAGAAAAGAAACAGAGCTATGAAAATCTGTGCTGTGTATCTATACATTTTAAATATATAACTTGTTGATATCTTTTACTAGTCATCCCAGCACAATAATCCACAGTTTGTGTGGGTGGTACCAGCTTTACGCCAACTCCATGAGATCACACGCTCATTTATTAAACAAACCTACCAAAAGCAAGATAAGGTGAGTGCTATATATTTTTCATGCACACATGCACAGAAAAGTAGTGTAGGTGAAAAATAAAAATAGGAAACCTTAAACAGTTACTTTACATATTTATCAAGTTACATATTATCACCTTGAAAAAGGGTAGTTGGACCTTAGCAATGAAATCAAGATTAGAAACATTTGTATGTAATATTTGAATGTACATATTTTCTTTCTGGAGAGATATTATGCAACCTACTTAGCAGTGACAAAACAAGCAATTAAAAGCTAAAAATCTAAAAGATTAAAGAAAAAAATTAAATCATCTATAGACTTGTGTTTATGAAAATAACAAGTAACATCCAGTTTAAAGCCAGATTAAATATTTAAAAAAAACAAGAAAAGTTCACCTAGTAGTGAAACCATATGATAAGAGCAAAGAATGCTTTACTAATTATTTATGTTATAAATAAATACACAACTTGTGACAATGTTTTTATTAATAATTTGTGCTAGTGTCACAATAAATTGAAATATTAAATTAAACAAGGTTCACTTTACAATAATATTAAATTTTAATGAATATAATGTGTTTATTTTAGAAATGAATGGAAGTATTTTGTTCATGGTTAAGAAAAATGAAAATTTTCAACATATGTTCAAAACACTTGATAGTTTATTCCAGGAGCATGAAGGGGATAGTAACTGTATAATCTTATGCCTCTATAACATTTATGCTCAGAAATGCATACAGGAAACTTCAACTTATTTAAAACCTTATTGTATATACTATAACACCTTATTTAACAGAAGTTTTTAAAATATTTTTGTCAAAGAGCATTATTCAAGACTTGAAGAAAAACTTTGAGATAGTGAAACTGGTAACAGGAAGCTTAATAGCTTGCCACAGATTGGCTGCCTTGGTGGCAGGTGCTGGAGGCCTGTCAGGAGGAACATTGGTGGATGGCCGGTACACCTATCGGGAGGTAAGCAAACAATGGCTTATAAAAGCTGAAACCATTGAAAAAGACTTAAATACAAATGGGATCCTTAAAAAGGAAAACTATAAGCATCTAAATAATGTAAAAGAATCTCTTTTAAAAATATTCAATGTAACTCAACTAGAATTAGAATTAGAATTCTTTATTGGCCAAGTGTGATTGGACACACAAGGAATTTGTCTTGGTGCAAATGCTCTAAAAAACATAAAAGAAAAGACATTCATCAAGAGTCAAGAATCATAAGGTACAACACTTAATGATAGTCATAGGGTACAATAAGAAATCAGATCATACTAGGAAACATTCAATATAAATCATAAGGATACAAACTCAAGTATATTATTTTTCTCTTTCTAGTACTTAGAGGCACACCTCAAATTTCTGGCATTTTTTCTTCAAGAAGCCACCCTCTACTTAGGATGGAATCGTGCTCGGGAAATCTGGGAATGCCTTGTAACAGGCCAAGATGTTTGTGAACTAGATCGAGAGGTGAGATCCCGCAAATGGTAGGCAAGCAATGCATGTAACAATGCAAGGTTATTCAGAATAGTTCCTACAGTAGCTACTCTTGATTACCCATATTACGGCATCCAATTTTTATTCATTTGTAAGTTCAACTATATAGATACCCTGCTGAGCTGATTCAAGTTATGAAAATAAAAACAGTATTTTTTTTAAAAGGAAATATAAGATAAACATAAAGCTAAGCAGAATAAATATCAATAAATATACCTTACTGGTTATTTATGCATACACAAAACCTATTTTGAATAATAGGCATTTACTGTCTAAATTCTGGCTCATGAAATAAGCAACAATGTATTTGCCTATTTAAAGTAAGAATAGTTATGAACTCAGGTGTTTCTTTCACAGATGTGCTTTGAATGGTTTACAAAAGGACAGCATGACCTTGAAAGTGACGTGCAGCAGCAGCTTTTTAAAGAAAAAATTCTTAAATTGGAATCCTATGAAATCACTATGAATGGTATGTAAGTATTTTTGCCTTTTGGGATTTCAGAATAATCCTGAATGTCTGTCAGACACTTTGGGATAAAACTAGTGAATGTTCTGATACTATAAATCATGTTAGATTCAGAAAAATCCTTAGGGAGTCAAGTAGGTAGGAAGTACTTTCTCGTTGCTCCTCTATATGCCAATTGCTTTCTAAATAATAATTCTGAGTTCCGGGCATGGATAATGTCGGATGCAGCACTGTAGACTGGGAAAAGGAGACATCCAAACTGGCCAGACAGATACCTTCTCTAGTGGAATGCACTTATATTTCATTTCCAGGCCCTCATTGACCAGGGTCTCCCAGTTCTTAAAATAGGTGTTTCCAGAGGAGAGGTGGGAAACTGATCTCCATTCTCTAGCCCTTTTTGTCTTTGTAATTTTCTGAATCCAATCTAAGTGGATGGTTTTTGAGGGGAGTGCGGGCGCGGGGCGTAATTAAATCTAAACAATATTGACCTGTTGTCAGTTTGCCTGAAAGCAGCTGTTTCATATAGCCAATATTTATGCTGTGTACTTAAATAAAAATAGTGGGATTCTTTTACACCGTTCATTTTTAAAAACAGGTTTTGGTTTGTTTAAGACCTTTTTTGAAAATGTGAATCTTTGTGATCATCGTTTAAAACGACAAGGAACTCAATTGGTAAGCACCTTTCTATAATCATATACTGTATACCGTTCACATTTCACAGACAAAATAGTATAAACAGGTGAAAAATCATGGTTAGATGCTGGTACTTTTAGGATTAGGAGGTTAGATTTGCCCTAAATTTAAAACTAAACAATACGGCAAATCTAAACTCTTAATCCATTGCTAGTTTAGTTTTATGTCAGTTCACTTGAATTTTATCAATTCTATTACTCAGCTTGATATTTTAATGTGTATATGTTGCAAGAATGCAGTTGTCTTATACTCAGAAACTATTTTAAAATAATAAAAATAGCTCTGCTATGTTAGTATATCACATTAAACTATAATGTAGTCTAGTTTTCTCTTAGAATAAATTCAACATAAGTATCAAATAATAAATTGCAGTTTGTAGCATTTACTTTCATAAAATTGTGTGCTATAAACTATTGTTGTAAATATACAGAATGCATGGTGGGTTTGTGGTTTCTTTGGTTTTCTGGTTAGATTTTTACCTCCTTCCAAAGCCTCTAACTTAGTCTTTGGATATACAGGGGAAGAATAGCTAAAAAAGAAATTAAAAGAAAAAAAGATTAGTCAAACATGGGTTACAGTATATTAATGTTGCTCATTTTTGAGATTGAGTTTGTGTTATTTTTAGTTTGTTCAACTGCTTTAGTGTGACCAATGAACCCACAGCATATTTAAGGTGTCAGTTTAAAAGTCTTGGGAAAATTTGGTTATTTTGATGTTATCTGTAACATATTCTGCTCCAAGTCATGACTTTTCTTTCTGCAGCAAGTAGAAAAACTGGAATTAATAGGAATGGATTTTATTTGGAAAATTGCAATGGAGTCACCAGATGAAGAAATAGCTAATGAAGCTATCCAGTTAATAATAAACTATAGTTACATTAATTTAAATCCACGATTGAAAAAGGTAATAATTCTGAATTCTGAATTTATTTCAGGTACAATAGATAGAGCTGTATGATGCATATATAAGGCCATGGTTTATCTTTTTTCTGTTTTATTTTTTGTTTGTTTTGTGAGAGGGAGATAGGAAGCTAAAAGTTAAGACTATATTATGTAGCTTATTTCTTTTTCTAGCCTCAGGGTGGCAGCAGTGGTTAAAATGCATAATTGTAGGCTAACTCTGCCCACAGTCTGGAGTCCAATCATGATGGGCTCAAGGTTGACTCAGTCTAAGTGGTATTGCAAATTTCAATCATGTAATCGGGGAATTCCTTCAGAGGCGGGCTGCTGCTGGTTCACACTGGTTCAGGCGCAGCAAGTCCCATCACTGGCTGGACATGCTCATTTTTCAGCCTATTTTCTGGGCTGTTTTGGGGGGCCATTTTCTGGGCTGTTTTTGGCCATTTGGGGGCTGTTTTCAGGCCTGAAAAATGGCTTGAAAAGAGCCAAAAACATGCCCAAAATGGATGGGGACAGAGCCAGCCAATGGTGGGTTTATCCCCAACTGGCTGAATCCTACCTCTGCCTTTGAGGCAAGTGGTCAGGAGGCGGGCCTAGGTGTGATGAGTGATGTAACCCATCCAGTCACATGACCATGCCTACCCAGCCAGAGAACCAGTTAAGTTATTCAAATCCCACCACTGGATTCCTTATACTATGAAAAGGTGTTCACGGTATAGGTGTGGACAATATATTGCCTACCACTGCTCTAATGTTTTGGAATTAACAAATTTAAAGAAGATTTGGACTTCCCTGATTGTCCCAATAAAAGGAAAGTTGCAAGAGAAAAGAGTTCTTAATTAACTCTTTCAGCTTCTTGAGTTATAAGGAAAATCATAATTAAGGATTCCTCTTGCAAAGTTTGTTTGTTTGGAGAAAGAAGGCATTGATTAGGCATGCATTTGTCAGATACTTTATTGGTAAATTTCTGTGAATTTGGCTTGGGAGCAAGCGTTCACTGGTCCATGCTGCTTTGATCATTTTCACTAGCTCTTCCTGTGAACTGACAAACTCCAGATGGTTTTGTCTTCTTTAGCATGTCATTCAAATCATTGCTTGGAAAATACGCTAAACATATTGTTGATGGAATCATCCACAGCATGTTTGCTGAATTCATAGAAAGAGTTAGCAGGAATAAGCAGAGAAATATGTGCTATTGTTTATATTGTGTTGCATAAATATGCCCCCAAATACAATGGCTAACTATTAACATTTACAATTATTTTATTCTTACAAATTTACTTTGGATGCTGTTTTTGGAACAAAATAGAAAATTTGAGCCAAGATTTCTAGTAAACTATAAGCAAAATACATATTAACAGGCATTTAGCAATCTGATATGCTCTGTAACACAATGAAATACAATAAACTATTGTTTTAGAAATGGGACATGAAGAAAGAAAAAAGTCTGAAAATTGCTGCTCATTGTTACGCTAGCAAATTCTTAGGTTAGGATGGTCTGAATTACACAAAATTTAAAAATACAAGTTTATTAAGCAGTAGTTTTTTTGTTTTTCTCAATCTTACTCATGTTTACATTTAGCAATTATTTAAACATAATGCTGTGTTTTCTATATACATTTAACTGATTTATTTATTATTTTCAGGATTCTGTGTCACTCCATAAGAAATTCATTGCTGATTGTTATTCAAGATTAGAAGTAAGAGTTATATCTCTTCTTTATTTCTTGTTTTATTTTGTTCTTGTACAATTCTAAAGTCATAATCAAATGCACCATAAAGTTCTTGAATATCAATAAATTGAGGAGTTGTAAATGTGGATTCCAGACAAATTGCTTTACCTGTTAATTATAGCGTCAATGAAATATTTGCTTCATTGGCACCAAAGTTTAAGTATTGACTTACATCTCCTTTTTATTTTCCCAATGTGACCTCACAAGCCTTCAATTCCAAGTATATTTTTTTACCAATGCAAGATCTCTGATGAACAAAATGGATTAATTAAGGCTACAGATTGCAAAGACTAAATTCATCAAGAACTGCTATGTTTTGCTAATCATAGAAACTTGGCTTCATTCACTCATTCCAGGTGCAGCTGTTGAGCTGGAAGGCTACATAGCTCACCGGCAGGACAGGAGTAGAGATTCTGGCAAGAGCAAAGGGGGAGGTTTAAGCCTTTATGTGAACAAAAGCTGGTGTATCAATACAAAGACTGTAGACAGCCACTGCTCCATGGATCTGGAATATATGACTCTTAAATGTAGACCCATATATCTTCCATGGGAATTCAGTGTGGTTTTGATTACTGCAGTCTATATCCCACCTAATGCCAATACTACCATAGCTTTGGGATTCTTGCATAACATTGTTAGTAATCAGCAGAATAAGTATCCTGATGCTGTGCATATCATAGCAGGGGACTTTAATCAAGCTGATTTAAAAGCAGTGCTCCCTAAATTCTTTCAGCATGTTAAGTGTGCTACTAGAGGAGCAAACATATTGGACATATCAAACATGGCTATAAGGTTATTCAGTTACCATATTTGAGACACTCAGACCATATGTCACTGCTTTTAGCACCAGCATACATCCCTCTTAGGAGACGGGCTCTGCCTATAATAAAGGCAGTGAAATCTTGGCCAGAAGATGCTTCCCAAAACTTCAGGATTTTTTGACAACACAAATTGGGACATCTTTTACCACCCTGACTTAGAGGAGCACACTGCAACTGTTCTGTGCTATATCAAACACTACACATACTATCACTGTGAATAAACGTATTAGGATCTATCCCAATCAGAAACCCTGGATGACCAAGGAAGTCCAGCGCCCCTTGCATGACAGGACCAAGGCCTTTAGGTCCAGTGATTGGACAAGATACAGTGTTGCCAGAGCGAATCTGAAGAAAGGTATTCGGAAGGCCAAGGTGATTATAAGAGGAAGATTGAGGATAATTTTTACAGCAATAACATGAGGCAAGTGTGGCGAGGGATTCAACAAATTACAAACCATCAACCGACCAATGTCATCCCTGCTGAGGAGGATGCTTCATTGGCAGAAGAATGGAATCATTTCTTTGCTCGCTTTGAAGTGGAGACATCAGAGACAGATAAAATACAACCACCAGCCAATTGTAGCTCCCACCTCATTGTGGAGGAACAGGAAATGAAGAACATTCTGAGGGCTGTGGACCCTAGAAAGACTGCCAGTCCTGATGGCATCTCTGGCCGAGTGCTTAAAGACTGTGCTGATCAGTTGGTTGGAGTCTTTACCAGGATCTTCAATTGGTCTTTATCCCAGTCCACTGTTCCATCTTGTTTGAAGGCTTCCACCATTGTTCCGCTGCCAAAGAAGTTCCCTTTCAATAACCTCAACGATTACAGACCAGTGGCACTCACTCCTATCATCATGAAGTGCTTTGAGAAATTGGTCTGCCAGCACATTTCTGGTCTTCTGCTTACATTTGATAAATACCAGTTTGCATACAGAAGAAATAGATCTACAGAAGATGCTATAGCCATCACTCTTCACACTGCTCTGACTCATCTAGAACAGCGGGGGGGGGGGGGAGCTATGTGAGGATGCTTTTTGTAGATTTTAGTTCTGCATTTAACACAATTCTTCCACATAGACTAGTCTAAACTTCTGGATCTTGGACTTTCTTATTCAATCTGCCTTTGGATTATGGATTTCCTGTCTGGCCACTCACAGAGGGTCAGATTAGGTAATCATACCTCTTCAGCTCTTATTCTTAACACTGGTATACCACAGGGTTGCGTGTTGAGTCCCTTACTCTATACTCTTTATGTGCATGACTGCATTTCCACTCACACTAGTAATACTATTACTAAATTTGCAGATGATACAGCAGTGATAGAACTCATCTCCGGAGGGGATGAGTCTGCCTACCGAGTTGAGGTGGACCGGTTGCTTTCGTGGTGTGGAGAAAATAACTTGGTTCTCAACACCAATAAGACCAAGGAGCTTATAGTGGACTATAGAAGGAACAGATTAGACATCCAGCCCTTGCTTTAAATGGAGACCGAGTAGAGCAAGTGGCCAGTTTTAAGTTTCTGGGTATTACCATAAAAGAGGACCTGACCTGGGGTGCTCACATTGGAGCACTGGTCTGAAGGGCCCATCAGAGATTAGACTACCTGAGACTTCTCAGAAAACAACAACTGAATTAAAAACTGCTGGTGACCTTCTACCGCTGCACCATAGAGAGTATCTTAACTTACTGCACCTGTGTATGGTTTGCCAGTTGCACAGTGGCAGATAGGAAAGCACTCCAGAGGGTTAACGTCATTGCCCAGAAGATCATTGGTTGCTGTCTCCCCTCTTTGGAAGAGCTTTATAGCTCCCGCTGTCTTTAGAAAGTTCAAAACATTCTCAAGTTCCATCTCATCCTGGGAACCCCTTTTTTGAACTATTACCATTTGGCATACAGTACCGAATAATTAAAAACAAGGACAAATAGACTGAAAAACAGCTTCCATCCCAGGGCAGTAGCTCTTTTGAATTCTACTGTATAGTGCAGTGTTGGTGTGGTGTCGGGGGTTTCTGATTCAATGTGTGGAGTGTGAAGGATGTGTATTTGTGTTTATTTTCATGGTCATGATGTGCACTGAAGATGGTGTTTGATTTTGTTGTACAAGGTGCAATGACAATACAATAAACTAAACTAAACTAAACTAAACTCAGTGGTTGCCATTATCTGAATAGCCTTGAGTTTAGTTCAGCAGTAGTGTTTTCCATTGTAGGCAGCCAGTTCAGCTCTTGGTGGTCCAACGCTGACCCATGCTGTTACCAGAGCTACCAAAATGCTGACAGCTACTGCAATGCCAACTGTGGCAACATCGGTACAATCTCCATACAGGTAAGCTTACACTTCCACAATACATAGACTCCTTCTCAATTCTCAGGACTTGCATACAAAATATTTAGAAATGACTTGTGGGTGTGTAAAAGATGCTTGAAGCTCAAAATGGCAATTTCATGTTTCCCAATCAATAAAATAAAGTGTATCTTGGAGTTCTGTGCCAAACCTGGAATAAAATACTCTTTTAAGTTTTCCTGAATTAGGGACCAAACAGAGCTGTTATGATCTGTGCTATTTTCGGAGTTGCTCACCTTACGTCAGGGGTCCCCAACCCCCGGTTCATGGACCAATGCTGACATGCCAGAAACTAGTCTGCACAAACAAGCAAAGCACCATTCGAAGGGCCGCAGGAAGCATGCGTCCCCTTTGGTCCGTGAAAAAACTCTCTCCATGGAACCAGTCCCTGGTGCCCAAAAGGTTTTTGGGGACTGCTGCCTTATGTGAATGGTGGGTTTTGTTTTCTAAAGAATTCCAGAAAGTAGACACTTAGCAATCCATAGAAGGCACAGATTCCAATCATACTTCTAAAATTAGGTGAGGGATGAGGTGCCCTTGGAGGGGACAGTTACATACATGATCAAAGTTTAAGAATGTTGTGGGGCAGAGAAAATGGACACTGTGTTCTTTGTTACAGATATATAACAATTACAAATAATGTAATCATTTGTGTCTGTGTTTTCTTTTGCAATCAGATAGTGAAATGCCAGAATGATAACATGTTTTGCAGAACTGTGACTAATAGCATTTTGTGCTGGTTAATGACCGCAATAAAGTTAAGGAAGGAATAGCATTAAATTTTCACATCACATAAACTCAAAGATCTGTTTAAACTATTGCTAGTTGAATCTGTGGCAAATAGATTCTGTGAATAAAATAACATAATAGCAGAAATATACTTTTATGGCTTTTGGCCTGAAGTTTTCTCCTAATGTTCAAACATCTGTATGTTTGAGCATTAGGAAAAAACTTCAAGCCAGAAGCCGTTAAAGTATATTTCTGCTCTTGTTAATGTCATTTTATTCACAGAATAAAATAAAATAAAGTAAATTGTTTAGATTGTGCTTCATTTGCTATATTATGTTCTGTGGCAGTTTTTGAAGGCAGAAGCCACAAAAGAGTCCTGAACAATTGTTTTCATTGTTTGCTGTGTAGCTTTTAAAAACAGTTAAAATGGCTAAATTGGGTGCACGACTAAATTCAGAGTTTTTCTTAATGCACTGTCCTATTAATTCTGTTGAAACGGGCAAACACGTTATATTTAATTATTTGCCACCTGCAGTGTTAACAGGTTCTCAAGCTTATGAACATGCTTCTTCTTGATACATATTTTTATTCTATTAACGTGGATGTCTTATATCATATTTCTACCTTACTAATGTAGTATGTTTGTTACCAATATTATTCTGGAATAAAACTCATCCCAGATACAGAAAATATGGAAAACTTGTACTCTTTTCTTTTCTTTTGCTGTGAACCATTGGACAGACTGTACATAAAGGAAGAGATAAATATTGTAATTGAATCTTCATGTGTGATTCATTTCATTGATTGAAATAGTTTAGTATATTAAAATAATTGCTTCATGCTTTCCATATATCATTTGAGATGGGAGGACTTTTCTACTCAATAATAGCCGCTCTTTTGTTTTAAAATATATACACTACTGTTTTTTAGAAATACCTTAAAATTGGCTCCTTATTTAATTGCTACCTTGGGCCTGAACACACATGTATGTATACATATATGTACTTAATACTATTTCATGGTAAGACAAGTACTTATATTATGTAGTAGAAAACAACTCCAAGGTAATGCCACTTCTCTGAAAATGAAAATATTCTTCTGAAGCTCATTCAAATATCTGCTATTTAATCAAAAGTCATCCAAATATACATTTTTATATTGAATGTTCAATTCAAAATTAGTTCAAATATTGTTTGAAAGTTATCTAAATCTTTGCTACTTTAAATCTCTAGGTCAACAAAACTTGTAATAATTGAGAGACTGCTACTTCTGGCAGAACGCTATGTTATCACAATAGAGGTAAAACAAACATACTTTTGTACAAATATTTGATTTACTGAATGCTTAGTTTGTATCTAATTTGTTTCTATAATTGAATTCATTCTGCAATTTAATTCAAATAATTATACCTTAGTCCAACTTTAACAAATCTTGCAATGAGAATATGCCAGGACCGGGAGATGGGGGTGGGGGCAAGGACAAGTGTGATTAGAAAACAGTTTTAATAGCTGCAGATTCTATACATAAAGTCAATTTTCTGTGGGCAGAAAATGCCTGTCAAGAAAATGACGACAACTGACTCATGGAATTATCAATAATAACTTTCAATTATCCTTTGTCATAATTGTATGAGTGATATTGGTTGCTTGTAAACCATTTTATTTAAGACATAATTTTTCATGAGCTGAAGCTGAGTGAGTTAACTAATGTGGTATTTAAATACATTGGGATGATGAAAAGAAGGGAAGAGAGTGGGAGACAGGATGCTTATGCTGATAGACGTTCCTTAGGAAGCAGAATACAAGTACCTATCAGTTAAGAATGGGAATGTATTAAGAACCTGTTGTGAATGTTAAGTCCTTCTAAAATAGCTTAAAATCTTTTAATGTATATACGTATGTTCCTGTGATGAGCCAGGGTGTGGCACAAAAGCAACAAAGTCACAAAAGTAGGTCAAGTCCCTTTAATAACTCCAACTTGGCCCCCAATGTCCAGTTCTTGGCTAGAGAAAAAACTCCCAAGAACAGTCTTTAAAGGGAAGAAATTCAGTCAAACCCAAAGTACATATAAATTATAAATAATAACCAACACAAACCATGCTGCAGCAATTAATGAGACAGGGCAGGATAAGGAATTGCAGACTTAGAAAAGATAACGAAACACACAGTTGGGATGATTCCAGAACCCAGGTATGCCTCAACAAAGATAATGCACGCTTGCTTCTAGCAACTTTGCTGTGCATAGTTTGCCTTTTAAACAGTTTTCCCAGCTGCAGCTAATGAAGGGGATCAGGGCCCTTTCCTCCCCTGTAAACCACATAACTCACGTTATTCCCTTCTCCGTTCCTCCCTCCGTGCCCTAGGATGAAGAGGGGGTGGCCCGGGGTCTTCCTCTGAATGCCCAGCCGGCCTGTGCCCTTTCCCAGTTTCTTCCACAGCCACCGGAGCCATACTCCCATTCCCTGTCAGCTGCTTGACCTCCCCCTCAGAATCAGATTCCAACAGGGACATGACAGTTCCTATGTTTTCTACTCAGTTGTTCTAGCAAAGTTTATTTGTTCCAAACTCCCCATGAGCTCTATGATGAAATATCTTAGAAGTTTAAAATACTGCTGTCAACTTGAGTAAGTTTTGAGTCCAGATGACAAGCTAATGTCCATTAATTCTTTTGTACAAGGTCTGGCCTGTTTGTCTTATGTAGAATCCAGAGAGCATTGCTGGCAGATGATGGCATGCATCACATTAGAAGAAGACATGTGAAAGCAATTCTAACTTTGTGTGTAAAGCTTTGTGTGTAGTAGTAAACAGTAGTGTAGATGTGGGGTAAAGTAGACAGCTGGACTTGCTGCAAGGTATGGTTTTCCCATGCTGGTATTGTCCTGGTACTTGTAAGAATCTTCTTCAGGTTGGGTATGCAAGAATGGGCTTGCCACCAAAAACTATGAAAGTGTAAACATCATTGTCCAGTAGGGGCTGCAGATTATTATTGATGTGAGTAGTTGAGTTGTGAATAACAACCCAGCATATTCTGTTCTGCCGTCGTACTGCAGCTAATAATTTAATAGGATCTCCCCTGGGAATTGGTATGTGTTGATCTGTGCACTGAGCTCACTGTGTGGATAGTTCAGCCTGGTTTATTTTTGCCAGTTGAATATCGTTGCCTATCATGTAAATATTAATGTAATTATAATGGAGAGCCTGGTTATATGTTCTGGATTGAAGCAATATATTTCCTTTGTAACTGCATGTTGTCATAAATGAGGCCATTTGATTGTGGACCCAGCATGCTGATGAAGTAATATGAACAATATACATTGGTGCTTAAAAGTTTGTGAATCCTTTTGAATTGTCATTATTTTGCCTAAATATGACCTATGATATGTTCTCTATACAAGTAGCATAAGTAGATAAAGAGAAGCCAATTAAACAACTGAGTCAAAACTTATTCATTTATTTATTGAGTAAAATGATCCAAAGGTATATATTATTTAATTAGGTTCTCTTTCAGAGAGCACTTTATATATATATATATATATATAAATATAGTCTTTCCTTCTGTCTATAGGATCTTTACTCTGTTCCTCGTACTATTCTACCTCATGGTGCCTCCTTTCATGGACATCTTTTAACTCTCAATGTTACATATGAGTCTACCAAAGATACATTTACAGTAGAGGTATGTAATTTTATAGTGTAATAGTTCTAGGATTGCAGAATTTTCTAATTAAAAAAAGAGATTGATACAAGGGATAATATGTAACATGCTGAAAAACATGAGAACTTGAGAGAAGAATGGAGCATGTTAATATGCACTTACACTTTTCATGTGGTGATGACATGGTTGTCAGTTGAGAGTATGAATTACAAAATTATCTTTATTTTTACAGGCTCATAGCAATGAAACTATTGGAAGTGTCAGATGGAAAATAGCAAAATTATTGAATGCCCCTGTGGACAATATTCAGATCTTTGCCAACGATAGTTTGGTATGTTAATTGCTTATAAGTATATTTCAAGTTGCAATGTCTGCTAAATCTAAGGATTTTTTTTTAATATTTCAGTTAACAGTGAATAAAGATCAGAAGCTGCTTCATCAGCTAGGCTTCTCTGATGAACAATCACTTACTGTAAAAACACTGGGAAGTGGAACTCCATCAGCAAGTTCTGCCGATTCATCCAGCAGTGGTAGCAATGTCTTCAGTTCATCATACGCAATGGAACAGGTAAAGCATGAATCCACTGAAATGTGGATTTCATATTTTTCATTAAGTTGTCGTGGTACAATCTGTCAGAGTTAGGTTTATGTCTATAGAGGTTCTCAGTCATCCAAGTCATGGCTATCCCAAAGGCGCTTTGAAAAAGTTAACTGTACTTTCTTGATGACTTCTCACTTCTCATCCAAGGAGCTTTTTCAGTTCTAACTAACTGGTGGGAAATCCATGAAGAAGTATAGCGTCTTCAGGAAAAGTCAAGGAAGTCCAGTTTCCTTTTTGTCAGCAC